TGCGCCACGGGAGCTCTACGCTTCCCAGATGTGGCGCTGTGATCGCACCCGGATAATCCACCTATCTTCCGTCTCTGTAGCGTGGCTAATGCTCCGTGTGACCGCAGCCTAAGCTGAGTCAGTGCGAGCTAGCTCACAGTTTTTTAGCCTCCGGCTCACCCATTTTTGTCTCAGCTCAGGAAGGAGGGCTCCAGAGCAAGGTTATTTCTGCAGCAGCCCAATCGCTCGCTCACAACTGTAATGCCAGTAGCTCACAACGTGGAACTTTTGCTCACAGGACTCCACAGCTTAGAGGGGGCGCCCACAAACACCACACTGGGGACACCCCTGATCCAAAGGCTAGTGTGATGTCTAATGGGCTGGTGGGAGGAAACTGAAGGAGATTCGGATGGCCAAATTTTCTTCCCAAATGCCATTTAGACTGGGACAGACTTGCACATCCCACTAGGATGGCTAAATTCCAGGTTGGGGAATCCCAACAGCCAATCCTTGCAGGTAGAGTACCAGCTCCAGGCTGGGAAATACCAGGAGATTTTGAGGGAGGAGTCTGAGGAGGGCGGGGTTTGGGAAGGCAATGGGATAGAATGCCACAGAGTCCACCCTCCAAAGCAGCCATTTTTCTCCAATGGAACTGATCTCTGCTACATGGAGATCAGTTGTAACCAACGTTCCCTCTAAGCTGTGGAGTCTTGTGAACAAAAATTCCACAGCCAGTTTGGCGTAGTGGTTAAGTGCGCGGACTCTAATCTGGGAGAACCAGTTTGATTCCCCACTCCTCCACTTGCACCTGCTGATGTGACCTTGGGTCAGTCACAAGCTCTGGCACAGCTGTCCTTGAAAAAGAGCAGTTTCTGTCAAGAGCTCTCTCAGCCCCGCTGACCTCACAGGGTGTCTGTTGTGGGGAGGGGAAGGGAAAGGAGTCTGTAAGCTGCTCTGAGATTCCTTCGGGTAGTGAAGGGTGGGGTATATATCCAATCTCTTCTTCTTCTTCTTCTCTCAAGGGCAGTATTCAAGAGAGGTCTCTCAGCCCCACCTACCTCACAGGATGTTTGTTGTGGGGAGGGGAAGGGAAAGGAGATTGTAAGCTGCTCTGAGACTCCTTCGGGTAGTGAAGGGCCATGGGGTATACATCCAAACTTCTTCTTCTTCTTTTACCTCACAGGGTGTCTGTGGTGCGGAGGGGAAGGGAAAGGAGTTTGTAAGCCGCTCTGAGACTCCCTTGGGTAGTGAAGGGCGGGGTATACATCCAATCTCTTCTCTTCTTCTACCTCACAGGGTGCCTGTTGTGGGGAGGCGAAGGGAAAGGAGTTTGTAAGCCGCTCTGAGACTCCTTTGGGTAGTGAAGGGCTATGGGGTATAAATCCAATCTC